CAGCCTTCCATCCTTCCGAGATCGGTAAAACGAGGACACAGATTGTTGGGGGGCAAGTTGCTGACTCTGTGAACTGCTTAGAGAGGGCTGTAAAGCAGGGTGAAGCGGTATATAAGTCTATATGCTATTGCTATAAGAGCCCTGGTGGCGGCGTGCTTAGAATGCAGCATTGCAGGCTAAACTCTGCCCACTGCCGCCAGTTCGATCCTGACCGGCTCAAAATTGACTCCGCCTTCCATCCTTCCGGGGTCCGTAAAACGAGGACCCAGATTGTTGGGGGCAAGTTGCTGACTCTGCAAACCGCATAGAGACGGCGGTATATAAATCTTAAGTGCTGTTGCTATTGCTACCTCCATTACCGACACCTCAGAATTATCCTGGTCTTGGGCTCCTTCCAGATTGGAGATGTTTTCAAAGCTGTTTTAAGTCCCTAGTTTTTAGAGATTCAGACAATCGAAAGGCACTTGAAGGATTTTTGTAAGCGGCGGTCATAAGTTAACTCTGTTCAGTTGCGTTGCAACTTTGAACGGTCACCTCCACCAATGCATGTCAGTTTATGACTACCTCTAAAGATAGCTTGTATATTAATTGGGGCCTTCAGGATAGATATTAACCATTGCGCAAGTAGGTTTCCCCCCCTAAGTATTGTCTAGACATCCTATGGGTGTATAAGAGGTGCTATAGGTAGTCCCTTGATTTACAACCAAGTTACACAGGTGTCTGGAGAATTCAGGAGATGCTGATTTTTTTTAACGGGGGGGGGGGAGTTTTAGACCAATTTTATCATCTTTATAACCCACCTGGGGTGATGGTGCATAAAATGGGCAGCTTTATCAGTCTGTTGATAAATAATTATTATTTATCAATAATAGCTTCATTAATAATAATGAAGCTGTTTGCCAGACCTGATTTAAAATTGTGTTCTCACTCTGTTGTTCACACACAGTTGTTATGTACCCACTTAGGCATTTTAGGGCCAAACTTTTAGTGATTTTTTTTTTTGCCCTGTGCCTATTGATTCATATTTATTAATTAATCCCATTGATACGATCAAGGAGCTCTTATTGTTTGATTAGGTTGTCTTTTATTGTTTATATTCTCTACGTATTTTTCTTGTTCTTGTGCTGGTTAGCCTCCAGCGCCTCCACGCTTTAAGCAAGAAAGACAGTCGCGTAAATTTAAACGATATACAAAGAAATAAGCACCTGCGATTTTGCATGTAATTTGTAATTTTGAAGCTTTACCTTTTTTTTTTTTTGCACGCATCCTGTAGCATACATGTGCTCTATTTTTAGTGGCTTTGTGTGTGCGTGACGTGCAGGAGATTTCGTTTTTCTACGCTTCTGAGTTTTTACGTGCAAAATAATAATAAAAAAATAGCAGTGATTTTAACTGGGTGAAAAATCTTTCACTGAATTTAATTGGTTTCAGTGCTTTGGGGCGGTTTGGAACCGGATTCCTACAAGCCAAAAAAAAAAACAAACCCCACACACATCTGGAAACTGTAACCCAAACATCTGGTGGTTTACAAGAGTCTTGATGTAGCCCAAACAGCAACAAAAAGACTCTCGGTAGATTTATAGGAACGAGAAAGTTTGCAGGAATATGCACACACGGACATATCTTTAAAGAAAACTTGTAAAAAAAATGTACAAAAAAACCTTGTAAAAAATTGGACACAGGGTCAAAATGAGCAAGGGGGGGGGGAATCCATAGCTTTAAGAAGGGCACTTTGCAGAAACACAATTTCGTCTTCTTAACCTGTTGCAGACTTGGTGCAAATTAGAAACCGTTCCTTGTAGGTGGTCCTCGGCTTACGACCACAACTGAGCACTGGAATTTTGCTCGTAAGTCGTTAACGGTCGTAAGTCAAGGCACCCTGTGATCTGACTCAAAAGTTACAGCTGGTTTAGAATGGATAGGCCGCAATCCTTTTCCCCAAAGGGTAGGGAGGATGGAAAGTGGAAGTAAACGTTAGAAACTGGCCCCCCCAAAAAGTCAAAAATCACGTTCACGTGGTTGCGGGATGCTGCAAACGGCCATAAGTGCGAGGAATGCGGAATTTGCAGAAGCTGAAACTTCGAAAACAGGTCATAAGTATCCTTCGGGTGGGGGGGAGGCGTTGATACTTGAACCAATCCTTAAGAAACTGTTCGTAAGTCAAAGAACAACCTGCCTCCAGAAGTTGTGAATGCTCCAACACTGGACGTTTTTAAGAAAAAACTGGACAGTCATTTGTCTGAAATGGTATAGGGTTTCCTGCCTGAGCAGGGGGTTGGACTAGATGACCTCCAAGGTCCCTCCCAACTCTGTTATTCTATTCCTATTCTATTCTATTCTATTCTATTCTATTTATTCCTATTCTATTCTATTCTATTTATTCCTATTCTATTCTGTTCTGTTCTGTTCTGTTCTGTTCTGTTCTATTCTATTCCATTCCATTCCATTCCATTCTATTCCATTCTATTCTATATTATGTATTCTATTCTATTCTATTCTATTCTATTCTATTCTATTCTATTTAGCCATTTGTCTGAAATGGTATAGTCCTAGTTGTGCACCCACAAGTTCTAGTGGCAAGCTGTTCCACTGGTTAATTGTCCTCACTGTCAGGAAGTTTCTCCTTAGTTCCAGGTTGCTTCTCTCCTTGATCAGTTTCCATCCGTGGCTTCTCGTCCTGCCTTCAGGCGCTTTGGAGAAGATCTTGACCCCCTTCTTCTTTAACGCACATGAGCATTTTCAACCAGGATGGGAGTTAAACTGGCTAGCCCATGCACGAAGACGTATCCCCACCCTCCTCCTTGGCCTGTTAAGTTGATGGCAGCTTTTAGCTGTCCTCCCTCCCCGGCATGCAGGGCTATTGATTAGCACGATGAGCAGAAAAACGATAATCGCCTCAAATTAATCCTGTAAACTCCTTTGCAGACATTTTTTTGCCTAATGCCACCTCCAAGGTGCTTCTAGGCTACGCTAAGCTTTAGAATTAGTGGCCTTCTGGGAGGAGGATCAACCCATAAACCAAGCTGCCTGCCTGCTCACCTGAGAATTAGTCTGGAGGTAATAACCCTCCAATCTAGGCTTTGATTCGGAAAAAGGGGTGGTGAGGTGGGGAACGGGGAAGCAGGCTAAGGAGGGGAATACACCTGTGGGAATCCGCAGATGCTTCTTGAGGTGCGTTGGGATTTGGGGGGTAAAATTTTGCTCGGTGGGCGTTGAGATAGCGACGTTCACATCCAAACGTACGACCGATTATGCGGGGTGCTTGCCCAGGAGACTTGACTTTTCTCTTAAACTGTGGTCAGGACGCAGTGTGCTGCTGGGTGTGTTGTGTCGGAGGGGTGTGGGTGTGGGCGCGCGCGTGCTGTTTAAAAGGAGGACTTGTAAAGTATTTCCAAAAGCTATGCTATTCCAGACAGTCTTCTTATCCTTCTTCGTCTCACTCTGATCAAGTGATCAAGACGGCTGTGGGCTGGATCTTGGGGCGCAATGAATTTGCAGTTTACAAATCCTTGCCTCTTTCCCATCTTTTGTCTGATGAAGAGGTTCTGGAAAACTTAGCAGGCTACGGATTTGGGCCGGTCCCAATTCAGATTTGGCAAGCTTTGTAACTTTGATTTTTATTTTTTTCTCCCTCACTAGGATTGGCAAATTTATCTTATGGGGTGCAAAGGTGGAACCCTAAGCACGCCTCTTTGGAATGGCTCACCTTCCTGTTTTTTTTTGTTTTTTTTTCCTTTCTCCTGGAAATTTCCAGGAAGGGATGGTCTTCTGTTTGTAGATGGTCTTTAGCAAAGGCTACTTTATTCTGAAACGATGAATTGACATCCTAATAAGTGTTGGGTATTCAAGAGCATGGAATGCCGTTTGATTGACAGCACGGGGAAGTGTGATGTGATTTTTAAGCTCTGACCATCTCTGTGAATTTCTCCTCTTGGGCATGTTGGAATATTTGTACAAGCACTTCATTTTTTTTTAATTTTTTATTTTTAAATTGCCGGCTCCCTTCAAACAACCGAGAATCTTGTGCGAGGTTTTTTGAAAATGCAAAAAAAAAAAAAGACCTGTGCAAATTCCAGGGACAAATTATTAACTACGGCTGCGCTTTGCCAAGTACCTTTGCTCTTTGGAAAAACCGTTTGGGTAAACTTTCTCTGCGGAGAGTTAAAAAAAAAAACGCAGGGTTCTTTAAAAATGTTTTTATTTTACTCGTGAACTGCCCGGAGTCTTTTGAGAGTTGGGTGGCAAAATCGGTTTAATAAATAAATAAGTAAGTAAGGCCTGCAGCAGTGTTTCCCTACCTCTCCAAATGAGTCAGTTTTTTTTTTATTTTGGTCCTGTGAATTCTTCTGTTCGTCCAAAAGTGGTGGAACAATTGAGACTTTGATGGTTCCCATCATCCTCAAGCAGCATGGCTGGGGGTTCTGTGGGAAAAATACGAGTGTTGGATGGGAAGCAGTTTGGAAAAAGTAGCTCTCTGTCTTTTTTCCCTCCTCCCTTTTCTGTTTGTTTCTCTCTGGGAATTGGGTTATTGATTTAATTTTTTGGAAAAGGCCCCTCTCGTTCCAGAATCCCTTCCCCCAGATCCTCAGCCTACAATTCCTCTGTCTTCTCTAAATCAATCTCTCGTTTGCAGCAAGTGGATTTTCCTTGACAAAAGTGCTGGAAGAAAAGAGCCTTTTTGCACAATTCCCATTTCCTAAAACTTGGCCGGAAAGCCAAAAATAAATATATATATATCTCCGTCTCCAATCCACACTGCAGCTAGAAGCAAATCCTCTGCTCGTTTGTTTTTTTTTAAACGCACAGTTCGGTTTGTGCGATGAAATTAAAAACAGGCTGTGCCAAAGGAAGGACGACGGGGAAGGAAACTTGCAGATTACAATGCTTAGTTAATCCTGGAGGGGTGCAGCGGAGAACGTTAAGAGGGGGGAACCCCCTCCTGGAGAAGCCTCAGATGCTGATGTGAGCCCTTTTTTTTTCCTCCCTTCTCTTCTTCACAGCCAAAACAGTGATCTCACCTCTTTCCTCTGCAACCTTCACCAGAGCCGGCAGCTCGGCATGCCCGAGACGCAGAACCGCTGCGAGTTCAAAAGAAGCAACCTCGAAGTCGGCTTGGGAGCAGCAGGTAAGTGGCACACACACACACACACACACAAGAACACGGAGGTGGCTCTGCTCTCTCTCTGTGTGCGTGTGTTTGCGATGGTGCCTTTGTGTGTGTGTGTGAGGGCGGGAGGGGGATGTGGCTGTTGAAATCAGCTCCGGGGTACGGCCACCTGTGTGTGTGTGTGTGTGTGTGTGTGTTGAGCGTCTGCCGCCGGAGAAGCCGAACAGCCTAGGGGGGGAGTTTGGCAGCCAGCGGTGCAGAACGAGGGCTTGGTGGGGACGTGTAATTTCATTAATCAAAAGCGGATCGTGTGCGGACGGCTCCACCGGCCCCCTCCCCTCCCCTCTTTCCTCCCCCTCCCCTCATTTGCACCTTCTGCTGTGTTCTGACCTTTTCAGGGCTTCAACAGAGTGCAGCTTGTCTAGCCGGGGAATTAGGGGGGCGAACTAGGGGGGGGGGCGGAACGAAGGAAAGGTTGCGCTTTTTCTCCCCACTGGAGAAATGGGACGGGGTGGGCAGACAAGCGAAGGTGCTTCTCAGCTCTACGTCAAGGCCAGAAGCTGGACAGCCAAGGGGTCACGCAGAGACCCGGAGATACATCCAGAAACTGGTCCATTTCGGCTGTGTTTATCCCAGGTTTTTTTCCCCAAACATTGGAGTTTTATATTTTTCCCAGCTCCCGGTAGGGAAGGAACGAGGGAGCGATTGGCTTGGGCGGGTTGAGAAGGAATTGGAAACTTTGAAAGACAGGCCTGCTCCAAAAAGGAAGACCTTCTCTCCCCCCCCCAAAAAAATCGTGTAAATAAAAGATTTTTGACCCAGCCACATCCTGCCAAATGCTCAAGGCTGGACCAAAGTCTGTTTTTGCTGTCTTGGGGGCCCGTGGCAAACTTTACGAAACCCTGAAATGTATATACTGTAGATGTACGTCCTCTACTATTTTAGTTTTTTAACTAAAAACTCCAGGGACTTGGGTTTAATCCAGAAGGTGGAAAAGACCCCCTTTCAAGTTTGCAGCGTCTGTCCTGTCCATTTGCTGCTGAAAATTTTACCCACCTGATTATGTTTTTTTTTAAACAAATACATGGAGAATCCTGCCCCTTCCTGTCTCTTCCTCCCCCCTCCCGTCCTGAAATTCTTCTGGGTTTGGGGAGGGGGGTCTAAAAGGGAACTATCACTTTAAAAAGGGGGAAACCCTGGCGATGGGGGGGAGGGCATCAGCATCTGAAGCACTCATCTCAAGTGATAATGGCGCATCTTATTTTTTCAGGAATCAAGCCAAAACTGCCTTCTAGCCACAGTTTGGGTTAGCATTGCGTTGCCTCCTGCTAATTGCACAAGCAATCCAGCTTGCCAAGGACTCCAATGGCTTTTGGCACCGTTTAACCCCACCCCACCCCAAAAAAACCCAGCCTGCAAATGGAGAACAGTCTCAGAGGCCAGAATGCAGCCCCTCCCCAACTGTAAGGCGGCCTCCTGAGTGCATAGAAAAGAGGAGGGGGCTGGAGGGACGGGGGTAGGGAGAGAGAGAGAGACGATGCTGATAAAATCTAATTGCTCCATCGATTTTGCTCTCTCGGAGCTGCTGTCAATGATTGAGGTGTTCTTAAGATCTCTGATGCAACATTTAGCTGTTTCTCACTCAGCCTGGCCCACCAGGGACCTGGAGGTATTACCAGCATCTCTTAATCATGGAGTAAGGCAGCTTGCGGTTAAGACCACCCCCCCTCATTCAGCAGGAAGAAATTTGCTTTTTCTCTAGTGTTGCAAAAACCTGCTTCACCATTAGAGGGCAGGAGAGAGAGAGAGAGAGATGCAGGAAACGCCAGCTCTCGGCTGCCCTCTGGTGGTTCGTGGGATTCCCGCAGCCTAATTTCGGCCCTCTTGTAGGCAACCATCTCTTTTTGGTTGCGGAACTGTTCCTTTCAAAGATTGCAATTTCTGGAGAGGAGGGATGTGTAGAGTTAAAGCCGCCACCGCCATTGACGGAGTCATAAAAATCCGCACGGGGGAGAGGAGGGGAGGCTAAATTAAATTATCCACTCTGTCCTTCTAGTCCAGTGATTCAATATTTTAGCTCCTCTGGCTGGCTTCTGCTTCCGCAAGCAGAACTGACACACATCCAGATGTTGGTTCGCTCCTTCAAGCCTTCCTACCTCTACTCTGGAGTAAAAAAAAGGAATCCATCATGCAGGGCCCCCCCTCCAATAATTGATCTGAAATTGGCAATGCGTGAAAGAGAACCATAGGGAAATGAGGGGAGACTTTCCCCCCCTCAAAAAAACAAACAAGAACAAAAAAACCTACCAGCCTCTGGGTCTAATTTGCAGAGTTGTTCAAATGGCCAGGTGGAACAGAATTATGGGTCTCTGGGCAGAGGAGATGGAGGAGGGAAGCGTAATGATAGCAGCCAGAATCTGGAGAGATGTAATAGAAGAATTCCATCTGAAAATTAAAAAAGTTCACATTTTTATGATTTAATTCCCCATTAATTGCGGGCTTTTCTTTCCATGCCATTCCAGGTGCACCAAGTAGAACAGGTTTTATTTTTTTCTTAACCTGACTGCCTCTGTGGCTTCTCGTCATAATAATTCCCTGTAAGATGATGGGATGTAAAGAAATAGTCTTGGCAGGCAGGGATAAGGCTGTGGCTAATCTTAATTGAGAGCAACACACAAAGGGATGAACGCCAGGGTGGCACCTGAGAGGCTTTCGCGCGTCTGGGTCAACAAATCCCATTTTTTCTATCCGGTTAGGTAAATTCACTCGAGAAGCAAGCTACTGGCGGTGACTTGGGGGTACAGGGAAGAAAACCTCGGAATTGAGCACCCCTTCTAAAGTTGCTAATGTGGATCTTTCTGTTCCATCCACTACAAAATTGCTAAATATAGTTAGTCCTCGACTTGCGACAGGTCCTCCTTTAACAACCATTCAGAGTTACGTCAACCTGGGAAAGGATGATTTATGGCCTGTAAAGTATTTCCAGCTAGCATAAAATAATCCCCCCCTCCCGGTCTGTCTCTTCTTTCAGTGCTGTCTGGAAAAAAACTTTTACCCATAAATTTGGGTGATCACTTATTATGGGGGTTGGCTAGATATAATAAAAATAGGAATCTCCGTCAGTCAAATTGTGCTTTCTGGATTTTAGTTTTCTCAAGAGGATGTTTATAGGCGCATTTAAGTCCAAATTTCCTTCTGGAAGTTGTTGGTGTCCAATCAATTGGAGCTTTTCAAGAAGAGATTGGACAGCCACTTGTCCAAATGCTACAGGTAGTCCTCCCCTTATGACCACCGTTGATCCCAAAATTTATGTCGTTAAGCGAGACAGTTAAGTGCCCCATTTTACTACCTTTTTCGCCACAGTTACTCAGTTGGGGAGTTGGTAACATGGTTGTTAAGTGAATCCGGCTTCCCCATTGACTTTGCTTGTTGGAAGGTCAAAAAAAGGGGATCACATGACCCCCAGAAACATTGCAACCGTCATAAATATGAGTCGGTTGCTAAGTGTCTGAATTTTGATCACGTGGCCCTGGGGATGCTGCAAACGGTCGTAAGCGTGAAAAATGGCCATAAGTCACTTTTTTCAGTGCCTGTGTAATTTTGAACTGTTGTAAGTCGAGGGCTTCCTGTATAGGTTTTCCTGCTGGAGCAGGGGGTCAGACTAGAGGACCTCCAAGGTCCCTTCCAACTCTGTTACTCTATGTTCTAAGTTGGGTCTTTTTTTAAAGATGCATCTTTGATTTCCTCTCTGCAGTTCTCAAGAGCCTTCCACCACCGAGATTTCAAACCCAAACCCCGGAAATTCAACCTTGCAATTTCCTTTTCCTATTTTTTTTTTTTTAATTTAAAAAAAGCATATTAGTTAGGCCAAGTTCCCCTGAGTCTTAACTCTTCTGCTTCATTTTGTACAGCCGTCCAAAAGCCCCCCAGGGTATACTTTGCCCTCTCTTGATGGACATCTGCTCACATTGGCCTTTGGAAGCTAAATCCTTCCTTTTTATTTATTTATTTTTATTTATTTATTTTTTAAAAAAAGGCCGGAACGTGCACCGCCTGCGTCAGCCCAAAGATTGCCTTCCCCTGTTCTAGGCCTTGTGCAAATGTAAAGGGATCGATGCGTTATAGATTTGTGTGTTTGGAGTGCCAGATCTTCCTTTGGGGGCTGATTTAGATTCTGCTCTGCCTGGAGGATTAAAAGAGGACGGTTTGAGGGGTACCCAAACCTCGCAGATTTCTCTCCCCCCCCTTTCCCTTTTCAGTTCCATTCCCCATTTTTGGGGGGGAGGGCACGTGTGTTTGTGGGGGTTTGCAAAGAGGCAACTTGAGGGGAGCCGGGGTGCAGGAGTTAAATCGTGTGATGCAGCTGCAGCTTATAAATTAACTGGGGGTCCCTGCTGGTTCCCCGATAATTGGGCCTGCCGGGGCAGCGTCTTGCTCCCATCACGCTGGGCTGCTCCTCTCATTGGGGAACTAATTGAACGTCCTGTATTGGGGGGTCAGAAAATGCCCAACTAATTAAGAACGGGGTATGGCGACCTCCCCACCACGTTCTTCTGTTTCCCTCTCCTGTTTCCAGAGCGCTTCTTTTATTTCACGTTTTCCCCCTTTCTCGGGTGACCCATCCAGGCAGAGAAGACCCCCAAGAAACAAGGCTGAAAGCACTTCCCTTTTGATTTTGATTTTTAAAAAAAAAAAAAAAAAAAAGTTTTCTGAACCAGCAGAAGAGCCGAGTTATTTTAACAGCAGAAGGAGACTCGGGATAATTTAGTTAAATAGTTTATGGAAGGGGAAAAAAATAGACATTCTCCCCCCCCCCCCCGCCAACCCAAGGTACGACCACAATGGCAGGCCAGGATTTCCCTCCCTCCCTTCGTCCACCCGTTCGTCCCTCCCTCTCTTCGTCCATCTCTCCCTCCCTCCTTCTGCCTGTTTGTCCATCCCTCCATCCTTCTGTCCATTCATCCATCCGTTCGTCCCTCCCTCCCTCAATCCGTCTGCCCCTCCCGCCAACCGTTGGTCCGTCTGTCCCTCCATCCATCCATCTGCCTGTTCGTCCCTCCCTCCTTCCCTCCATCCATCCATCCATCCATCCATCCATCCATCTCTCCCTCCCTCCCCGTTCTATCTGTCCCTCCCTCCCTCCATCCATCCGCCTGTTCTTCCCTCCCTCCCTCTCTTCCTGTATCTGTTTACCCAGCCATTTACAAGCCTTATATGACCATCCATCAAATTCCGTGATTCTAGACAGCTTGCAGCCGTCAATCAAAGGAGAGATAAAAACACCGTTAGCCCTTCCCACCCACTCAGCCCCCCCAGACCAAACAGCCTCCCAGCTTTTAACCCCCAATTGTAGCTCAATGCTTGGCGGGGAACAGCCAGATCTTCCGCATCCTTCCGGAAAGCTAAAAAGGTTAGAGACCCCCTTGGATCTCAGGCGGGAGACCATTTCAATACAAATCCCTAAGGGTGGGGGAGAAACAATTGCAAGATTTTTCTCCTCCCCCTCCTGAAAAAAAAAAAAAGGAAGAAGGTCACCTTGTGGTGACTTTTCCATCTCAAAGACCTGCTTTTCCCACGCATTCATTGCATTTATGCTTTCTTTCCTCCCCGTTGTCGCCCTTCCTCCACAGTCATTTGTCCTGCGTTTTCTTCTCCGATGCGCCCCCTCCCCTCTTTCCGTCGCTCCTGGGGAAGGACACTGTTCGAATCCTTTCCTCTCCGCGCGGAGCTGAGCGGCTCTCCCTCCCCTCCTCAGCCAATCAATGGCAGCCTCTTCGGCCCCGGCAGGGCTTGGCGAACAGGCGATCAATAAGTTATTAGCACCATTCTGTCAGCCGTAATGTGGAGATTGATCGGGACTGGGGCTACCAGCACGCCACTTGGCACTTCCCCTGCCTGTTAAAGATGACAGATTAAGGGGATAAAAAAGAGGAATTAAGTCTGGCTGTCAAAGGCCGACACGGGCTGGGGTGGGGGGTGCAGCCCCCTGATTACAGGGGCACCGAGGGTGCCACTCCTGGGCATCGGCGGTCTCTTGGCGGCAAGGTGCGAGACCATGACGTGATGGCTTTGTCCCGGCCATGCCTGGCGTAGGATTCGCACTCTGACCCGCAGAGGGGATGAAGAGGGCGAAGATGGGGGAACGTCTGGAGAGCTGGCACCGTGCGGGCTGCGTGGGGAGCCAACGTGGTTCCTTTTCGTAGAGATTTGCCAGATTTTATGAACGGTGTAGTTCAGGGGTGGGGGAACCACGGCCCCTTGATGACTGGTGGACTTCAACTCCCGGAATGAGGAATTCTGGGAATTGAAGTCCACCCATCATAAAAGGGCCATACCGTATTTCCCCGAAAATAAGACCGGGTCTTATATGAATTTTTGCTCCATAAGACACATGAGGGTTTATTTTTCCAGTTAGGTCTTATTTTGGGAGAAATACAATACTAAATGCTGTATCATAGAATAGAATAGAATAGAATAGAATAGAATAGAATAGAATAGAATAGAATAGAATAGAATAGAATAGAATAGAATAGAATACCTTGGAGGTCATCTAGTCCAACCCCCTGCTCAGGCAGGAAACCCTATACCATTTCAGACAAATGGCTGTCTAGTCTCTTCTTCACAACTTCTGGAGGCAGGTTGTTCCACTGGTTAATTGTTCTCACGGTCAGGAAGTTTCTCCTTATTTTCCAGTTGGGTCTTATTTTGGGGAAAATACGGTAGTTCCCCAAGCCTTAAGCATTTGTTAGACAAGGTTAGAGAAAAAAAAGAGAAGGATGTATTTTTTATTTTATTTATTTTTTAAAAAAGGATGAATCTAAGAATTAGAAAGAAACTTCCATGTATTTTTGGGACCTGGAAGGGTTGAGGTGCTATGCTGCAATGGTGGGTCGCTTTAAATTCGTTTTTGATAGTAACTATTTCATTGATAATTCATTTCATTTGAGGAAAACTCTTCCAAGCGTCCAATCCTGGAGCGTGCCTGCTTTTAAATCCTTTTTTCCTTTTTGCAGTGGGGGTGAAATGAAGACCACCTTGTTAAATGGATCCACTGCACCCAGTAGGGGGTTTTGGCTAGGAGCCAGAAACAAACGGCCGAATCCCATTGGTTCTTTCATTGACGGCCTCCGATCTTTCAATGCCTCGGACCACAGCGCCCATCCTCCTCGGCAGCCAGAGCCAAGGGGCTCTTTCCCCTCCGTTCTGGGTGCCGTTGTCTTTGGGGCCAAAACCCCCCCTCCCAAATTGAAACACCGAGGGCGCCACCGACGGTAGACAAACCGGGCGGTGGGTTTTCTATTTAAAACCCCCATCCCGAAATCTACGCCGAATTAAAATAAATAAAGCCCACGCCAGGCCCACTTAAATTCCATAACCTCTAACTTTGCACGCTGATTAAACGAGGCAGATGGGGGAAGGAAAATTTTTTTTTAAAATAACCTGATTTGCATCTTTTAAAAATTCTCTCTCGTTGCACACAGCTTCCTTGCACAGTTGTGTTGGCGAGGCGAGGAAACGTCTCCAGCGTCTAACGCGGCTCTTAAAAAAACCCCACAAGCTCATTTATCCCAGGGGTGTCTCTCGTTACGGGAACCTTGAGGACTAGAACCTTGGCAGGATTGAGAGGGTCCCAAGTTTGCACGCCTACTGCTTGTTTTGCAGAAGCTTTTGCTGGGGGAGGGAAGAGGGGGGGGGGAAGAGTCTCTGGATGAGAAGAGGCTTAGATGCCTACAAGGACGCAGTCTTTCCGCCTGTTCTTATTCGACGTGCTTTCAATTCCCACCCCGGCATTATTATGGAAGAATATTGATTTTTCTTTTTTTTATGTGCGTGGGAGAAGAAGGGGATGGGGGAGGGAGCGAGGGGCTGCTGTGGTTGTGTAATTGTGTATTATATATATTTTGCACTGGCTGGCAGGACAGGGCAATGTGTAGATTTGAAGGGGTTTGAGACCCCCCCACACAAACAAAAGGTGGGTTGAACACAATTAGAGTGGAGGGGAGGAGGTTCCCCTTTCTGCTCCCTTTATCCCACCGTCTTCCCCCCCCCCACCATTCCAGGCTTCCCCCCCCCACACCCAGACCCCGGCTGTTTCACATCAGGGCACAGGAAGCCTCTGGGAAACGCAAGGGAGCCGATCAAATGATGCAGTTAAGTAAGAAAATAAAGTAGATTTTGCAAATTTATGGCTGGGAGCCCCTGGCATCGATCAGCAGCGCTTGTGCGGGAGGGTGGCTGGTGCGGGGCTGGAGAAACGGAGGCGAAGGCTCACAGCAACAAGACTCCCCCCCCCAGCTTTCCTCAGCTGGATTGTGGTCTGTATTTGTGTGTGTGTGTGTGTGTGTGTGTGTTTACCAGTCTGAAAAGGCTCACAGATTGTGATGGGGGGAGGCAGTGGGGGACCATGTGCATAATTGTGAATTTCCAGCTGATTTTTTTTCTCTTCTCTTCTCTTCTCTTCTCTTCTTCTCCCCTCCCCTTCTTTTTCCTTCCCTCTCACACCCTTCCTTCCTCCCTCCCTCTCTGCCCTACCCTTCCTTTCTCTTCCCTCTTTCCCTCCCTCCCTCCCTCCCTCCTTTTTTTCCTTGCTTCCTTGCTTTCTTCCACTTCCCTCTCCCTTCCTCCCTCCCTCCCTCCCTCTTTCCCTCCCTCCCTCTTTCCCTCCCCTCTCCTTTCCCTTCCCTCTTTTCCTCCCTCCTTCCCTCCCTTCTCCCCTCCTTTCTTTTTCCTTGCTTCCTTCCCTCTCTTTTCCTCTCTCTCTCTCTCTCTTCTCTCTTTCTCCTCTTCTCTTCTCTTCTCTTCTCTTCTCTTCTCTTCTCTCTTCTCTCTTCTCTCTTCTCTCTTCTCTCTTCTCTCTTCTCTCTTCTCTCCTCTTCCTCTTTCCGTTCCATCCTCTTTCTAGATGAAGTTCTAGGCAAAAGGAAAGTCTGTGTGTCCGGCAGCAACGGCGACTGTCTTTTGGAGAGCAAGAAATCTCGAAGCGAATCTCCCAAAGGTGAGAACAGAAAAACCTCTTGCAATTTCTGCTGGGTGATGGGTGGAGTTGCGTCTGCTGTTTTTTTTTTTTTGGTTTTTTTTTGAAGGAAGGGTTTCCGGGCTCCTGTCTTTGAGAACCTCGTTTATAGATTTATTTTCACAATTATTCTGAATTTTAATCGGGCCAACCCAGAGCAGTTGAGGTGCCGGGCCTCCGTGCGGCCTAGTTTCCACCCTTTATCCAAAGTTATTATCAGTTAACAAACGTCTGGAGTATTTTCCAAACAAGTCATCCCTCCCTCTTCCTCTTTAGCTAAAATGTTGTGCCCTGAACCCTTCTGCTTGTTTTCTCCTCCCCTTCCTGCCTCTTAAGCCCTCCACCCCAATCAGCAAAGTTACAGGTAGTCCTCGCTTAACGACCGTTCCAAGTGAGGACAGCCTCAGAAAGACCGTGTGGCGCTTCCCACCGTCGTAAATCATTACCTTCCCCCTGCCTAGTCGCATTTCGAGTGGCAACGGGTTCAAATTTACAGCAGAGAAACATCCATTGGGCATGCCCGATTCGTTTGGCGACCGTGTGGCTCGTTAAACGGCCACGTGGTTTGCTTTGCAAGCGTCATAAAAACGGTTGGAGATTCAAGTCAGGTCCCAGGGTGGCAACTTGTCACAAGGGCACTGCCGATGTGTGTGTGGACTTCCAGGTGCCACAGAGCTCTTGGTGGCCTTGGCTACCGCAAGCCAAGCTTCCTGTCCCTCCACCTTCCATTTTATGGGGCAGATCCCGGGAGGGGAAATTTGAGCCTTGCGTGCACGCAGAACGCTCCCGTCAGCGAGTCAAGCTGCAATTCCACTTCGATTGCTAGAGACACACTCAGAAAAACGCCGAAGGATCGACTTGGAAAGCAAGCAAGATCTGTCTCTTATAACCTCCCTAAATTAGGGGTGTGTGTGTGGGGGGAAACTAGCCTAGCCACGTAGCCCTTATTGATAAAATTGTATCGGAAATTCCAGGGTGACCTAAATCAGCATTTTCGCTTCGTTTTTTACACTTTAAAGCGACTCCCGTCTCCCCAGCACTTTGAATAGCTCCCCAAAGGAGCTTAAAGACACCCCCCTGCACTTTAAAGGGCTTCTCCAAATGAGTAGGGGGCCTGACCCCCCCCCCTTTTAAACTATCTTCCTTCTTTTCCTCTTTCCACTTGTAATTAGACACCTGTCAGGGGTCCCTCCCAGCATGCTGATAATGCTGGTTTATCCAAGGAGGACTTAAGCTCTTTCGAAACCTGTTTCTACAATTTTGATTTGCTGCTTTTTGCTTTGCTTTTTCCAGATGGCAATTCTTGGATATTTTCTTTCCTAATTCTCCTTTTCCCCCCCCCCCCCACTTCCCCTCCTTTCTGTGTGCGTGCACACACACACACACACACAGAGACAGACACACGCTCCAGGCTCCCGCTGCATCCTCTGAAAAATTAATCAAGGTGATAGCGGTTTAATCTATCTTGCGGGAGAAGCTGAGCTTTAATCAGACTTCCATGAAACCCGGCCATCTATCGCTTTGGGATCAATGCCACGGCGTTTCCACACACACACACACACACACACACACACAACGAAAGCCGTTCATCCACCCCCCTCCCCTTCCTCAACTTCCCAATTGTAGTTGTGATCAATCACCTTGCCTGTCCCCCTCGTCCCCCCCCGCCAGCTTAATTATTTTATTTTTATCGATTGGTTGATTAAATGTTTACGCCTCCCGACTTCTTGGGGAGCGAGGCTTCGCAAATAAAACACACAGAACGATAAATTAACACCGGGATAAAAACAAAGGCGACGCAACCTGGATAACTTACATCGCCTTACCTTAGCTGGCTTTGCAGTTTAAGCGGAAAAAAAAAAGATTTGGGGAATTCTCCCCTAGTTCAGATGAGTCCCTTTTGGGGGTCTAAACCCCTTTTCACCTAGTATGCTAAAGCTGGCTACTAAAATAACACATTTTCTGGGTTTGCACAGTATCTTGTTCTCCAAGCCACCAATTAACCCAGATGATCGAAGCTTATTGCATTGTCCGAATGCAGCCATTTGACTTCTTGCATGCCAGTTTATCTTCTCTATTCAGCCATTGGTCGAGCTGCTGTGATGTCACAGAATAATCTACAAAGGCTCCGCCCACAGGCCAGATCATTGACGGAGAAGCAAATGGGGTGAAATTCTCAATTTTGGGGGCTGGCTGGTGTTTCTGAAGTTCTAAACTTTTTCCTGTGTGCATCTAATAATACTGGGATACACTGCCTTGGAACAGAGAAGCTCTACATCCGATTTCCTTCAGGAACTGTGGCTGGACACACAACCTTATCTGCGTTCCTTAAATAGTGGCCCATAAAGATATTTTTTTTTCTAATTTTAATCCTTCCTTTCCATCTGCAGCAGCATCCTTATTGCACTCAATCTCGTTTTTTGTTTTTTTTAAATCGAACGTTTTTGCTGGAAGTAGGTGAATTTAGCCGGATTCCGCTCTTGAATCAATTGTGAGGAAATCAATCCCATTTGTTTTGCGCATTCGGATCGATTGGAGTCAGCCTGATTGAATTTGGGGTCCCTAAAAAAAGCAGGTCCTTATCTTTCAACGCTTTTGTTTAGGGGACCGTTCGAATTTACAACGGCACTGAAAAAAGTGACTTCGGACCGTTTTTCACACTTAGCGACCGGTTGTAGTATCCCCACGGTCCCGCAATTTGCATTCGGGTGCTTGACAACTGACTCACCTTTACGACGGTCGCAACGTCGTAGCCCCCCCTCTTTTTCTTTCTCTGTCTCTCTCTTTCTCTCTGTCTCTTTCTCTTTCTGTCTCTCTCATTTTCTCTATGTCTCTGTCTCTTTCTATCTCTCTTTTTGTCTCTCTTTTTCTCTTTTTCCCTCTCTCTCTCATTTTTTCTTTCTGTTTATGTCTCTTTCCCTTTCTCTCTGTCTCTCTTTTTCTCACTCTTTCTTTCTCTTTTTCTTTCTGTCTCTGTCTCTTTTTCTTTCTGTCTCTCTTTCTGTCTCGTTTTCTCTGTCTTTCTTTTTCTTTCCCTTTCCCTTTCTATCTCTCTCTCTTTCCCTTTCTCTCTCTCTCTCTCTCTCTCTCTCTCTCTCTCATTTTCTCTCTGTTTATGTCTCTTTCTCTCTTTCCCTTTCTGTCTCTCTCTTTTTCTCACTTTCTCTCTTTTTCTCTTTCTCTTTCTCTTTCTGTCTCTGTCTCTTTTTCTTTCTCTGTCTCTGTCTCTCTCTCTCTCTCTCATTTCCCATTTCCTGCAACCTCTAGCTTATTAGCGGAGAGGAAGAGGATCTAAATGATTGTGCTCTTGAAATGGAGGTGTTTTTTTTTCCCTTCCTCTCCTGCACACTTGCACGCACACACAGAGAGGTGTGCACACGTGTCAGGAAGGGGATGACAGACAGTTGCTGCAATCCGGCGGCGGAGTTCTCTCCTGGGAAGGCCGTCGGCCCCGCTGAACGTGGGCGGGCATGTCAGTCAATGGCAGGGGGTATTGGCAGCAGGAAGCCTGGGGGGTGGGGGGGTTGAGTTCGAAAAGTCTAGACAAGGCTGCTTCCTTCCCTGGGATGAGGGGTGGGTTGCATGAGCTGAGCGGCGTCTCTTCTCTGCTTCTCTCCTCCCCAATGAAGGGGGTCTCCATGCTGGAGAGCAGGTGGGCTAGAAAAGGGGAAAATTCCATTTGTTGGGCAATGCAAGAAAAAGTGAGTTTTAAGAGAGCAGTTCCACTTAAAAATCAAGGTGTATATCTCTTCATTTTTTCGTGGTGGGTCTTCTTTCTTCCCATCCTTTCACGCCGAGTCTCCTTGTGGTCTCTCATCCATCGACGAACAAGGATTTTCTTGGCTTTTAAAAATCAGATTAACAGTCAGCTCGGTCCTGCCTTGCTTAGCAACGGAAATTCTAGTCCCGATTCTGGTTGTAAGTTGAGAGAGATGGGAAGCACTAAGGCTGTGCTTCAAAACAGCCTTCGAATGCTTGACAATGATAGTTTGTGGCTGTAAATGAATTCATCTCTCCTGCCGCCTGCATTTGTCCATCAAGTTGTGCCTCTCTCTGATACCAAACGGTAGTTAAACATTTCATACAAAAGTGATGTATAAGTAGCGTGAATTAAAAACAAGGAATGAGAGAGAAAAACCAACGAGGCTGCCTCCAGCTAGCATCTTCCAACGCCCACAAACAATTTTAGTTTTTGTAAAGAGACATTTAAACCGGCTCTTGCTTAATTCTCTGTTTAGCAACCGTTTTAGGGAGAGTGGAAAGAAGGCGCAGAACCCTGGACAAAAAGTCCTTCCTAGAAAAAATATATGCAGAAATAGTTAAATTCAGCTGCCCTTTTGCTGCTTTGCAAGCTAAAATAGGCTAGATTCAAGTTGGTAGGGGATTTGACACTCCTTAAAATGAGGACTAATTGGGTGCCAAATCATTTTCAACTTCTATATTCAGAATCATGAGGACTGGAAACTTAACTTGGCAGCGTGGGAAACTGTGTTAGATTTGCAAGGCCCAACTTCTTTCTTACTACTCACCCTTCCATTTTCTGGCCTTTCTGCCCCACAGAAAACTCCCACACGCCCCTGTTGGAGGGCCCGGTGACCCAGATGACTCCGGAGGAAGATTACCGGCGCTTGATGTCCGCCCTCAACGAACACAGTACTTTTGAGGAGCAGCAGCAGCAGCGTCTCTACCAGTTGGCCGGCGGGATATCCGTCCCGAGTCACAGTGGTGAGGATGGGGAATTCTGGGAATTGAAGTCCACACATCTGGAGACTCTGGAAAGGGTGCAGAGATGATTAGGGGGATGGAGGCTAAAACAGATACAAAAAACAGTTGCAAGAATTGGGTAAGGTCTAGCCCAGGGGTAGGCAACCTTGGCTCTTTTATGACTCGTGGACTTCAACTCCCAGAATTCCTCAGCCAGCATGGCTCAGCTTGGAAACGTCTCCCTTTCCCCTCAGCATGGCTGGCTGAGGAATTCTGGGAGTTGAAGTCCACGAGTCATGAGGGGTCCATAGTTCCCCCATGCTGGCTGAGGAATTCTGGGAGTTGAAGTCCACGTCATGAGGGGGCCATAGTTCCCCATGCTGGCTGAGGAATTCTGGGAGTTGAAGTCCACATGTCATGAGGGGGCCATAGTTCCCCCATGCTGGCTCAGGAATTCTGGGAGTTGAAGTCCACGAGTCATGAGGGGGCCATAGTTCCCCATGCTGGCTGAGGAATTCTGGGAGTTGAAGTCCACGAGTCATGAGGGAGGCATATTTCCCCATGCTGGCTGAAGAATTCTGGGAGTTGAAGTCCACGAGTCATGAGGGGGCCATAGTTCCCC